ATAGATAGATAGATAGATAGATAGATAGATAGATAGATAGATAGATAACTGTAGGTAGGTACTGTAGATACTGTAGATACATAGACAGATATATACTGTAGACAGATATAGACAAATAGCAAGATAGATGATAGATGCATAGACAGATAGCAAGATATGATATATCAATAGATTTTAAAGATATAATATATACATATAGATTATACAGAGATGATATAGAGATAATAGATATAATATAGCTATATAGAGATTATGATATAGAGATGATATAGATGTAATATAGATATTAGATATGATAGATTTTAAAGATAGATGATAGATGATATATATATAGATACAGATAAAAGAGAGATATATAGATTATAGATATAATATAGAAATAGATTTTAAAGATATAATATATATAGAAATGATAGGTGGTATTAATATAATATATAGATGATAGATAGATAGATAGACAGACAGACAGACAGAGATATATAGAGATACAATATAGAGATAGACAAACAGGTCTAACATACACACACACACTGCAAAAATCTTTTCTCTTAGAAAGGTGACGGGAGGATTTCCTAGAGGTGTCCTTTAATACAAAAAAATAAAAATAGATGGTATGTCTCTACTGCTAGCCCCTTGCAAATGTTTTTTTAAAAATATTTTAGAGGGGATACCTGTAGATTTCCTAGGGGGTGTCCTTTCATGCAAAAAAAAAGGCATGATTCTCTAAACCCCCCCCCTCCCCATGCAAACCTATTTTGGGGGAGTGGGGAGACCAGTGGATTTCTTGAGGGTGTCTTTTAATGCAAAAAAATAAAAAATAAGGCACATTTCTCTAATCCCCAGTTGCAAAACTTTTTCTTTTGGAGGGCATACCAGTGAGTTTCCGGGGGGCGGGTCTCCTTTAATAATAATTAAAAAAGGCATAATTCTCTACACACTACACCCCATGGAAACATATTTTGGGTGTGGGGTTTTTTTGTGGACTGCATCAATCTGGCATCATTTCTGGTTTATCAATGGGCAACTCATCTGCTAAGCAAAGCCGTCACTAAACGGAACCACGACAGCGCTTACAATCTCGTTTCAGCTTTCCTTTGCTTTACAGTCCCGCGAAGGTCATAAACCTGAGGATGGGCTTCCGTTAGGTATGTCTTCATCATCGTCATAACTGGAAACGGTCACTAAATGAGCCGGTCAATAAATGAGGATGCCCTCATTTTAATTTGGTGCCTTAAACCTTTGGACCAAAATGATTCTTTTCAGCTTTCCCAGTAAATGTCCTATAATAAACTTTACTTATGAATAGAGCCATCTAGATATTTGTCTTCCTCTTTTTACAAGCTCTTTTATCTCCTGAAGGGCTGGCATCTGCTGTGGGCTATGAAGAAAGAACTGGGGGGTAGCTGCTTTCTGCCTCTAAAAATACGTTTCTCCATTGGGGAAATATAATATACTGCCTTTTTAAAAAATATTTCCCAAAATATTTCATTCTTCAGGGGGGAGGGAGGCTTCCCACACAATACAACCAAGGAGAACCAACCGAAAGCAGCTTTCTTCGGGGGGGGGGGGGGATTTTATTACGAAACACTTTCTGCACAACAGTGAATCATACAAAATAAGCCGCGAGGGCCGCCATCTTGTCTTTCGGCTTCTTAGGAGGCTGCCGGCCCCCGAGCCGCCGGCCCTTGCCTCCCCTCCCTCGCCCCTGCCGTTTCCCCTGCCCGCCCCGGTGCATGGGGTGCTTCATGGCCGCGTGCTTCAATTCCACCAGGTCCTGGAAGACCACGTCGCAAAAGACGCAGCCGGCGTGCTGGGTCTCTCCGCCAGGCAGCGGCGACTTGGCCTTGTTGAAATCCACGTCCATCAGGGCGGCGTCGCAGGCGTCGCAGGTCTCGGCCGACACCCGCACCTTGTGCGCGTTTTCGAAGAAATGCACCACCACGTTGCATTTGTTGCAAGCCATTTTCCACTTGGGCCCAGAGATGGGGTCCAGCACCAGCACGCCACTTTCGCACTCGACGCACTGGCCGATGCCAAGCTGGTTCAGCGAATGTTGGCAGTTGGGGTGGGTACATTCGTTGCAACCCATTCCTGAAATGGGGGGGGGGGGGAGCAAGAAGAGAAGGTGGGTTTTAAAACACAGGTAGTCCTCGACTTACAACGGTTCACGGAGCGATTGTTCAAAGTTACAAGGGCGCTGAATAAAGTCACTTAGGACCGGTTTTCATAGGTACTGTGATGACCCAGGGTGGGATACAAAAGAAACACAGTCACAGAAAACGGATGAAGCCCCTTTTAATCCTTCACTTTGCTTCCAAGCTCCGAATATTCTTGACAGAAGACAAAAAACTCCCCCACAAACAGTTACAAGAAGAAGGGAAAAAAACAACACAAACCAGGCAAGATAAGGGCTGGAGGACGTCCACAGATAACACACTTATGAATAGAGCCATCTAGATATGGGAAGGATGCCAAACTCAGAGAGGGACCATAAACTAGAGATATTTCCATGCTTTGTTTCCAGCGCTCGCCCGTATGCATGTCCGTCCTCTTATTCAGTTGTTACAGCTGCAGCCCATGAAGAGGATCAAGGCCCTCTCCTCCCCAGTAGGCCACCTCTCTCCCTTATCCTCTCCTCCCTGCGTGCCCTAGGATGGAGAGGGGATGGGCCTGGGTCCTCCTCCGACTGCTCAGCCGGCGTCTGCCCTTCCCCAGCCTCCTCCACAACCTCTGGAGCCACTATAATGGCGTGGGAAAATACCCGAACAAAGCTGAGTACCATACATATACACGTTTATATCTCCTTCTGCGAAATCTCACCTTTTTTCATATCCCTAAAAGGAGGGTTATTGTAACAGTAAGGGCACAGGGGGTAACTCTTCCCCCTGGACCCGGAAGACCACAGCACCAGCTCAAAATCATCCAGGGGGCATCGCAACTCTTTGTAGAGTTTGATCGTCCCGTTCTGGGGGAGGCTGTAGGTCTCGTCGCAGTGCGAGCAGTGGAGACGGCTTGGCTTGGCCTAAAACACAAGAAACACGGGATAAAGCTCAAAACTTTGCAGAGAATAGTTTCTGGAGAAGCCAGTTCCCATCTGATCCTGAAATGACCATTTCATTTAGACTCCATTTTTAGTTAAAAACAAAAAAGTCCATAAAGGATATTTAGTCTTTTATAAAAACAACTAGCTGGATAACCGTGATTCGCTACGAAACTATGTGGTCGGGCTTAGTTTTTGGGGAGGAAAATAAGGTGGGGAAAAATTCTGCCTCTGCCTACCAGCATCCATCCATATTCATCTGGCTAGCGTCCTGTCAGTATGAGAGAGTTAAGGGCTGTTTGGAAAGTGAAAGAGTATTTGCTGTGTGAGCAAGGAGACAGCAAGGAGCCTGGGCGTGGCTTAGCTCAACTGTTCTCTACTAAAGCCTCTTGGTCCCGTGAAACTGAAACTGAAACTCCTCTCCTCTGCTTGTGTTTTGCATTTGGAAGAGATTTCTTTTCAGGTGGGGAAGGGGAGTAGAACTCCTTAGCATCAGAGCGTGTTAATAATAATATAGGAAATACTCTAAATGCTCTGATGGTCATTTCACAAAATCTTTTCTTAGCGAGCACCTAGAAGCCAAGAGGAACATACGTGCCAAATTTCAAGTTCAAGGCTTTACGGTTCTGCAGATGTTGTGATGATGCGTGAGTGGTATTTCGCTTTTATATAAAGAGATTGTAGTTTCCTCCTTAACAAACAGATCATTTTACTATTTCTAAATCAAGGATTACCTGTGCTACATTTAAACAATAAATACAAGGAAGCTGCCCATAAATACATTAAAAAAATGCATGCAACCATTAAAAAAAAATCCCATCACAGATTTCTTTCCATACGTTGGCTTAAACTCCAGATTTTCTTTACCTGGATGTATTTCATAAAACGATGACATTTGCCGCATCGGGAGAGTGGCTTCCCTGTGGCAGCCAGAGGTGAAAAAGACACTTCCATTAACTCATCCATACCTGGAGGGAAGGTGGGACAAAAAGGTCAGGTAGTTTTGAAAATATGCACCTCTATCACCTTTTCTGTTTAAAAAAAAAACAATTTTATATAAAGATTTTTACTTTGCAAAGTAAAAATAATACATATTTAGAGAAAAATAGAAAAATAAGAAAAGGTGACAAATAAATAGAAAAGAAATGAAAGAAAGGAGAAAGGAAGGAAGGGAAAGAAAGAAGAAGGAAGGAAGGAAGGAAGGAAGGAAGGAAGGAAGGAAGGAAGGAAGGAAGGAAGGAAGGAAGGAAGGAAGCCTTCTGATCTATAGCTGTTATACATTTATATTTTATCCACTTTAGATATATATCTGTACAACCCTATAATAATAACTCTTTCATATTGATAACCAGATATAACAAGCCACTGAACCGTTTGACAATTGCTAATAAGGAAACTTATGATTCGGTGGATGAATATTTCTCCCCAAACTCCCATGTTACGACTGCAAATTCTTCCTTTAAAAAAAAATATCTCTATTTTAATCAAGTAAAAAGCAACCGAAAATGTAAAACAAAGGTAGGGAGGGAAAGAGGAGGAGGAAAGAACAGAATTCTTAGGTCTCCAGCAGTATAAACCCCTGACTCACACTCGTTCTTTTCCTTCTAACGACTTGCACATTCTAAAACGCCAGCCAGGGGAGGAGTGGAGACCTACCAGCGATGGAATCCACAAAGTAGTGGAACTTCCTCTTGAAGATGTCCAAGGTGTGTTCCAGCACCTGGTGGAAGTTGGCTTTCCCTTGAGCAATCAGGTTGAGCTGCTTTTCCACCGCGCTACGGATGGTGGGTAGCACCAGCTCCACATCTGAGCAGGTGAGAAGAGGCAAAAATGAGATAGATTAAAAGTCTGCGGGATGCTCAAAGAAAGGTCAGCCTGGGAGAAGCATCCAGGATTTGTCCAAAATGCAGAGATCTCTGGGAGAAGAGACCCAGAATTCCCCAGCCATGAAGTTGATATCATGCTGGCTGGGGAATTCTGGGAATGGAAGTCTACTGTCTTAAAGAT